TGATGAATTCCACTTCTGTTTTTCACTACCTCCTGGACAGTATTGATTCCTAGATCGTTATGTAGTATTTAGTTGCTGACATACCAAGGTGCATTTGCAATACACCTTAAAATTTTGGATTGATTCCTTTGGATAGATGAATTTGATTTACTGCCCCACAACTCTGCGCCATAGGTCCAAATCGGTTTTATTGTCACTTTATAAAGTAGAATTTTTTTTCTAATGATAATTTAGATTTACCATTAATAAGCCAGAACAGTGACTTCATTTTTCTTTCCATTTGTTTTGTTTTGCTGTTATTATGAGTAATCCAATTTAATTTGGTATCCAAGTGCATTCCCAAATATTTTACAGAAGCAGATTCAGGGATAATTTTATTACCGAAAGGACACTTACCCACCAAGAATTTTAATTAGCACTATTCTAATCAATTAACGATTATCATTCAAAGAGTTTTATATATCAACATATGGATCTTTTATCCACTATAAACCGTGATTTTTTTATTTCTTCTGGCTTTGAATATTCGACGACGTCACCATCACGAACAATCAGCCACGCGTGATATTAGTCATCGGCAACGACCATTAAAAAGTTGTTAATGGTTGCGAATAGTGAATTTTACACAATAATAATATTAATAATTTTAATATTGCATAATGAAATTAATTTATGTTTAAAACATGTGTATTATTTCAATTCTACAAAATGCATTTTTTTTAATTTTCAATGAAAGAAGTCAATCATTAATGACTAGATTGTGTCATCTTATCAACTGTACTGATTTTAACACCCTGCTTATATCTCCTACCTCCTCCAAGTGTAATTTCGGCACTTGATTAAAATTGTGCGAGCATGAAATTGACTTGTTATACATCTGCCTATAATTAAATGAAAGTCGAGGGCTCTAGCTGTTGCACTTATAATTAAATTGTTGATTGGAGGCAATAAATTGGCGCTCCCTGAGTCACTTGATAACTTCGATCACAGTAATAAAGGCATTTACCGGTTATCGATAATAATATAACGAGGCTGATGGAATTATGGACACAAAACGGTAGCTAAATGGAACCAAATATAGAATGGAAATAGGGTAAAGATTTTAAGTAATCAAATTTTTTTTTTTTTATTTCTTCAATATCAATTATTCATGTAGTACAGTAACAGAATAACTTCTTAAGGGGCACCCATTAATCATGTGAGCTTTCTAGGTTTAGAAGGGGGTTGACAAAAGATCGCACAGTATCACATGGGGTAGGGGGGGGGGGTTTATAATAAGATATCACGTGTATTTATTTTGTACCTGAATTTTTTTTTTAAATCCAAAAATTAAAAAAAAAAACAAAAAAATACAATTTTGATTCTATATAATAAGTTTTTCTAGATGGATGAAGTTAAAGACTCTATTTTTTTCAAATTTTATGGAATGGAATATATGAAATATTTTTTTCTATTTATAATTTTTTCGTAAGTAAAAATACATGTGATGCTTGGTGGGGGAGAGTCAGGGTAATTTTGAATAGCACCAAGTATCGCCAATGGCGGGGGGAGGGATTATGTATGTAGGTTTGGATACAATTTTTTGACGACGATTTCGGGCGCACGGATTAACTGATTTTTTAACTTCCCTTAGGGCAAGTTATAGTAATCGCAAAAAGAATCGGAAATGAAAATTTTTATATATCTTTACGTTTCAGAAGTTTCTGAACATTTAGGCATACCTTAGAAAAAATGGATGTATGTGTGTATGCGGATACAAATTTTTGTCGACGATTTTGGAAACACGGATCAACCGAATTGATTAATTAATTTAAAATATATATATATACCTTTCATTTGACTATTTCATTAATATAATATCTATTATAGTTAAAATATCTTTATATAACTCTTCAGTCTTCTTTGTCTTCAATTTCCTTATTCGATTCGTATTGATAAGGAGGCGTGCTGATTAGCCTTTGGTGAAGGCAGGTCTAGCCGTTCCGAAGATTCGGGGCAAAAAGTGCCAAAAACGGTAACTCAGTTTTTAAGAGAAGGGGGCGTCCAATTTTAATAATTCAAAAATCATTTTACTTGTATTGACGAGATGAAGAATTGATCAAATTTTCATGAAGTCAGGTCTAGCGGTTTCGGAGATCTAACAAATAAAGTAAAAACAAAATGCCATTTGGCGGTCAAAATGAACATTATGTCTAATGCACATCAAATTATCAGATATTTATATAAAGATTTTAACAATAAGTATAAATTTTGTTTACATTCCTATGGGTTCCGTACCAATGTTTACGCGTTAGACGGCGACGCGGCGCTTACCCGCTTCGGTATTTTGCCTTTATACAGTTAAAGCAGTACGATTGCTTTGAAAAAAAGTTCAGAATTTCTAAAATATTTTAAAGTAAATGATATAAGATAGAATGATGTAATATGGTTCGAAATTCTATTAAAAGTTTTAAATCATTGATCAACTTTTATTGATTATTATTGATTATTTTTAACTACTCGAAGTTTGAACTGCGGTACGGGAAGTTCCAGCAATTTGCCTTAAGGCACGATGCCTTAATTGCCTTAAGACAGAATTCCACTTACAGCTAGTTTGGTTTGTTTTCAAAAATAGTAGTTTGGTAACAGCGCCTCCCCCCTGTGCGCCTCTTAAGGATGCGCGCCCATAAGGATGATCTATCAATAATTCCTCAATCTTCTTGATTAAGTATTAAGTAATTGAGTACTCTATGAATTATAATTAGCAAAATTTATTGAAAAAATGAAGCGTGTCGCTGAAATTAATTGTTTAACTCAAATTATTATTATATCGATATATTATTATTATTATCCCTTACCAAGCCCTGTTCGTGATGGAATGGTGTATAACCGCTTTTGTGAATGGTTCGAAGTAATAGAGGAGTATCCTCACCTCAGAGCAGTCGCTAACTCCGCACTAAAGGACGTTTGCTAGCGACCGGGCAAGGTCTTATTCTACATGCTTGCCGTGTATTTGTTCGATACTCTCTCTTCATACTTACTTGTATAATAATACTATAAGGTGACTGCAGTCAAATCAAATGCACGAATATCGATCTTGGTAAAAGATTTCTTTATAAACAAACGAACCAAGAAGAAGACTTATTGTTATCCAAGGTTTTTGCACTTGCGTGTTAAAAAGGTGTACTAGAAATCAAAACACGAATGGTTTAGCCTAGAAATAGCAAGATCAGAATAAAATAGTCGACTCTATATAATAAGTTTTTCTAGATGGATAAAGTTAATTGAAGCCTCTATTATTCAATACAGTTTTCCTATTTATATTTTTTTCTCTCTTAAAAACAGCACATCCTATATGCCAGAAACGTAGCACTTACTTATTCATAAATATTTTTTACTTTCCGGAAGTTATAGTAATCACAAAAAAATTGAAAATGACAATTTTTCATATATCTTTACGTTCCAGAGGTTTCTGAACATTTTGGAATACTTCAGAAAAAAGTAATGTATGTGTGTGCGTATGTGTGTATGTGTGTGTGTGCGGATACAAGTTTTCGTCGACGATTTCGGCAACACGGTTCAACCAATTTCAATTATTCAATAAACATTCGGTTCCTATTAATAAGGAGACGTGTCGATTAGTTTTTGGTGAAGGTAGGTCTAGCCGTTCCGAAGATACGGTGCAAAAAGTGGTAAACCAGTTTTTAAGAGAACGGAGCGTCCGATTTTAATAATTCATTTTATTAATTCAAAACATTTTACTTGTATTGACAAGATGAAGAACTGATTAAATTTTTGGGAAGGCAGGTCCAACGGTTATAGACTCTCAATAAAAATAAGTTTAAAAAATATCATTTGGCGGTCAAAAATATTTATTGGACTTATCGGCATCAAATTATCAGATATTTTATAGAGATTTACATAATTTGTACACTAAATTTTGTGTATTTTTTTTTTGGGTTCCATTCAAGATTTTTAATTATGGCATATCCTATATGCCAGAAAGGTAGCAAAAAATATAGAGGCCAATTCTGCATCAACATGGCGTTGTTGTGGCAACACTATATTATCCTTCTTTCTAAAAAACTAAAAACCTTCTTGGTTCATCTCGACTCAATCTTGAATCTTTTATTAATTATTTTGTCGTGACAATTTTTTACCATTTTAATGATGAAGTCATAGTATCCGCCTTGCCGAAGATATTTCTAACAAAATTGGCACAGTTGTTCTGTTGAGCGTTGAAAAGTAGGTACATAGTTGATTTCTTTGTCGCGGACTTTCTACAAGCCTGTTATTGCTATTAGAGCGCGATTAAATTATGTGTTCTGGTATGTAAAATATTATTGAAAAATTTAATGGAAACTGTTTAAATAATCCAGAGCAGAGTATTGAATGCTATTGTAATTATTAAGCATATCATCCTAAATTAATTTGTAAGTAAATTGAATTAAGGAGCTGGCGTAAGTCTTGAAACAATTGCACTAGTAACGGATTTCAACAATTTTTATTAATATGAAAACTCGTTTTTCTCGTTTACTTTACTGAAGATTTTGTACTCTTCAATTCAATTATAAGGTTCAAATTTATATAAAAATTATTCAGGTTTTCTCTAAAAAATCATGCTTAGTACTTACTCTTTTAGTTTTTGTATGAAATACCTAAAACCATTTAAAATTATTTTGTTAATTAATTGATTTAATTTATATTTACAAAACTTTCAAAAAATACCTTGACTGCCTTCCAATTCATAGATATCTTTAATATCATTATTCTTCTTCCCAATCTTTTTAGTCCTTTTACTTTACCTTTGACTACATCATGTAGAAGGAGGCACTTTCTTGGGTCCAATTCAGTTTCCTTCCCTTTTGATGATTGTGCTAAGTAGAGTATCTTTTGAGATTGTGCTCATGAGAGTATACGAAACATTTTCTGAAAACCCATGTTTTAATTCTACTCTTTATTTTTAATATATACATATGTGTCCAAAACATCTAATAAATGTATCCTTTACCCTTTTCCAGAGGAAGCACGCAAAACAGGCAGCCGGGTGTTGCTCCATTGCCACGCAGGAGTCTCTAGATCTGCAACAATAGCAATCGCCTATGTTATGCGTTACAAGTCTCTGAGCATGATCGAGGCATATAAACTAGTCAAAAACTGCAGACCCATTATTTCGCCTAATTTAAATTTCATGGGACAACTTCTAGAATTGGAACAAAGTCTCAGGGCATCTGGAAGTTTGCAAAGCACAGCAGAACCAGAAACGACAAAATCCTACCACCAATGCAGGTGGAACCAGACTGATAATGTTAGCAGTCCTGGCTGCAGCGTTTAGAAAGGATTTAGTCAGTATGTATAAGAGAATTTCAATCATCAACAATAATTAATGATAGCTATGATTAGTTTGATGATTGGAGTTTGATATCTAAAACTATATTGGTTGTTGTGGATCTGTTTTATTTACCTTACAAAATATTCACATATTTTTTTGTGAATTAAATGGTTTTAGAACTTAAGAATAATATTAAGTAGTGAAAATGATCATTGGTGCATGTCTGTAGGCACCATGAAAATTGTATATATTTAGAACTAGGAATTAGATTCATATATTGTTTATATAAAAATATTATTTATTTTATTTTGTAATTTATTAATAATGTTTCGCCCCAAGTGATGTAACGAAGCAAAAAATTCACACGCTGCATCATTCATATGAGTATTCTATCAATATTGATGAAAGCACATGACAACTAATATTAAATTATATATCGCACATGAATTTTAGGAACCATTTTTAAATGCTATGAAATATAAAATACTTATCTATTGAATTGTCACACAATATGCGTATCTTGTAAAATCTAGTCCAACTTGGGTGAAACGGCTGTGTTTATATATTATATTAACGGTTTATTGTGGCTATTTTAGAAATAATTAAATATGATAGTATGTCACACTACTTCTTAAAGAAACATTTGTTAAAGTATTGCTTGTTAAAAGTTTATAAAACTTTAGAAGTGCTCAATTATATTAGTTGAGTTGTTAGAAGAATTCTGCATATCTAACTACAAATCCATTTTGGATATGTTTATATTTATAAATTGTACTTAACAACAATGGACAAGCGATATTGATTTTTAACAAGTATGAATTGAAGATTAAGGTTTCTATTGAAGGTACATTAGATTAAGAATTATTTAATGCAACCATGAGGTAGATTTTGTGCCTTTATACATCATTGACCAATAATGTATAATGTATAAAATTTAATGTTTATAAGTACCAAATGCCAAAGTCGTATAATATTATTAAGTATATAATATTAGTGCCATTCTATATCTGATTTTAGATAAATTGGCATTTAATCAAAATATTAAGCGATTAATATAGTATGTATGATAAATGAAAACCATTAACTATGCATATATACACATATTCTTTAATATTTAGAAAGTTTTTTATGTATATTTTTTTGAAAATAAATGTTTTCTGTTGTATAGAGAGTAGTGTTTATGTAGTTGTATCAAGAAAATATAAAACAAATAATGAAAATAATCAATTTTTTATTATTCTCGCTTTCAGTATTTTTACATCATCACAAGGTCTATCATTTTTATCACATTCCACAAGTCCTATCCTTTTAACAACATTCATTCCTGAGTACACTCTTCCAAATATAGTATGTTTGCCATCCAACCACTGTGTTGGAGCCAATGTGATAAAAAATTGTGAGCCATTAGTATCAGGACCAGAATTTGCCATAGAAATAATTCCTGCACCGGTGTGTTTAAGTTCTGGATGAATTTCATCTGGAAAAGTTGGGCCATAAATTGATGAACCTCCTCGGCCTGTAGCAGTGGGGTCTCCACCTTGGATCATAAAGTCTTTAATAATTCTGTGGAACTTAACATCGTTGTAATAACCTCGACGAACGAGTTCAGCAAAGTTTCTACAGGTATTTGGTGCATGTTTCCAATATAATTCAATTGTTACTTCTCCCATACTGAAATAAATACGAATTAGTCAGTTTGAGGTTATAGTATTATAAAGATCCAATGTTATTGATGGAATTACGTTGTTTCTAAGCTAACAATTGGAGGTTGCCAAATTTTATCAGGTATTCCTGATGCATTTCCAATACTCAAAGTCATATTTTCACTAGCTTTATTAATTATTAATCACTATATTATTTTGCCAAATATTTTGCGCCAAGCTCATCAAATGTCAAAATACTAGTAGCAAGTACGAAACATGCAGCGCCTCTATGCAAAATCGTTCCAAATTCGTAAGGAACTACGTAGTGACTACCGGGTTCATATGGTTCTGTGTTAGATGTCGCCACCGACGTAACTCGTTTGACAGTTCTTCAACGACGAGGGAGTATATTAAGTATATACTCATATACTTATTATATTTATTTATTATTATGCTTATTTATCTAGGCTCATATATACAAACGGTATATTATCGGTGTATATATGTCAAGTTGAATTCATTGATACCTAACCACGGATTTATACAATGTTTTTTCCATCATTATATTTGGACCAACCGCCTTAGCTGTGTGGAAAACGGATATATAAATATATATATATATATATATATATTTTGACATTCCTTCAATGGGATTACTGGGACTATAATTATATATCTAATAGCGTAAAAAGCGATATATAAATGTATATATTGGTATTTCTCCTAAGCCATTATTATATATAAAAGCGTATAAAGGAATCCAATAAGATTTCTAGATTCATAGAGGCGATTGCATGCAGCGCCTCTATGCAAAATTGTTCCCAGTTCGTGAGGAATTAACGTCAAACATTTGACAGTTCTTGTGTAAAAGGAATCCAATAAGATTCCTAAGCCACAGATCCACTGATTTATATACTGTTTTTTCCATCATTATATATGTGATAGCTAGGCTTGGTTTGTATGGGAATTGGATATATAAATTTATATATCGATTTTTCTATCATTATATATGATATATACGCCTTAATTTGCATGGGAAATGGATATGTAAACGTATATAGTGATTTTTCCATCACTATATATGAATAAGCAGGCTTAGTTTGTATGGAAATTGAATATATAAATGTATATATTGATTTATACATTATTAGACTTAAGAACTCGATATATAAATGTATATAATTATTATGTATCATATAATAAATTATTATATTATTATCATTAAATAATATATATTTAAAACGTTGTGATTTTGCTAATTGCTTATGAGTATATTTGTAATATTTTGTAATTATATAAATAAATGTTTAAGTAATTTAATTTGATTTTTTTTTAAACATATAATTTTAGAATTTTTCAGGTTGCTTTTGGCAAACAAAACCATAAATAATTTGACAAACAATAATTAATAGCTCTATAATTAATTTTATTTACTTAATTACAATCATACATAAAGATCCATCCATTTTATTTTATATGATACTAATATTTTTTTAAATTAATTTAAGTTCTTAAAAAAGATACGTTCGCAATGATAGGAAGAGCCGACATCGAAAAAGATACTTTCGCAATGATAGGAAGAGCCGACATCGAAAGATCGAAAATTTCATAGTAAACTGGGTCTGTAATCGTTTCGAAGTATCAGGCGAACAGACACGCTCAGAATATATATATGATAGTATAGTACTATTCGCGCGGTCTATAGAGCTCGCGTACTCTTCATACGTTTCATACATTTCCATACGAATTTTTCGGCCGATCTATTAGGGTAGCAGACACATTTTTCAATCAAATTTCGCTCGTATTTCACAGGGCCGGCTGCTGAAATGTTAGGGGTAATTATTTTTAAAATTAAAAATGCAATTTATTGTTTTGGGATATTTTGATAGGTTTTGGTGTTGGGAATGGTTTTTTAACATTAATATTATTATATAAACATTGAAAAAAGTAGTAAATGTGCATAATGTAGCTGATAATTGCAAAATGTAGTTATTTGTGTGTACGTACTACAATTTTCGACCTTTCGTTAACGTTTTCAGAAGAACGGCTGTACCGATTTTGAAAATTTAAAAAGCATTGGATGTGGCTTCATGAGTACTCTACCCGATTAGTTTTTTGCAATGATCGGTCAAGCCGTTTCACTAAAATTAGTGTAAATGTACAAAAACTTTTGCCCAGTTTTTTTCTAAAATCCTTAAATCGAATTTATAAATTAATAAACCACTCGAAAGATATTTTTGGGAAATCATAGTTTTTAGTTTTTAGTAAAGATCGGCCAAGACGTTTCTTTGTAATTAGTTAAATAATGTGAAACAAAATTTATTTTGTTATTAAAGTTTATAAACTATACACATAGTATATTCTTAAAGTAAAATTACATATATAAGTAATATTATAATTAGTGCAAACATTATAATAATGTGTTTTTCCGACTTTTTAAAATAATTTACATATTTGTTTTATTCGACATATAAAGATGTTCAAAGTGCGGCCCTGGTTTCTTGTTAAATGTAGTCCTGCTTTCTGATTGGTTGCCTCGTTTTGACAGCTCCAAATATATAAATGGCGGACAATTCTCGTTACTTCTACGAAAATGCTCCTGTAATCGCTTCGAAGTATCAGGCGAACAGAAACGTCAGAATATATATATGAAAGTGTAATATTATTCGCGCACAATGTGTGGTGTGACTATAATGAATTCAAATAACCTCAATGTAAGTACAAATTGATTATCATTACGATTATTATATTTCAAATGGAATGTCATGTGGCTATTATATATTATATTTTTTATATCAATTCCTGTTTTTATGATTATTATTAAAACTTATTTCTATGTTAATTATTAAAATTAAACTTTTAATTAAATTGTTACATTGTTACATGTAGTTATCTAGTAAAAATTATCACTATCTAGTGTTTCTTGTAATGAATCTATATTCTTTTCACAGGTGCTTATAACTTGTAAGGAAACAAGGAAGAAAATATTAAATGAAATATATTATTGATGAATTTATGTAGAGGCATACACTAGATACCATTTTGTTGTATTTAACTGTCTTCCCAGAAATATACATTAAACAGAAAAACAGAGATGATGAATAGAAGATCGAGTAAGTTTTGTAACAATTTATATACTATTATATATAATAGTTTTAGGAAGTTTAATTTTATTCATATGAAAACTTAAATATCGAACTACAATTCCGATGAATTTGTCAAGTCATGTGATAATAGAATAGAATAAAGTGATAAATCAAAGTAGTAATGTCAGTATATTAAACTTCAGTTGTAGTTACATAAAACATCAATATTTTTAAATGAAATGAATTAAAAAATATTGAGATATGCATATTTCTTTATGTAAGAAACACAATTCTGTACAAAAGTACATTTTGCTCACAATAATCTAATTATAAGAAAATACCACGTAAATCTATTAGAATTTCATGTGAATGTAGTTGAATCAAATGAAATGAGTGAATTCACTGTAAGTCATTCTATAGATAAATTCTTTATTGAATCAGACTTATACCTACAATTCTTTTTATAATGAAAAATGAATTCTTTGTCCTTTCAAAAGTACTTTGAAGAAAAGCAATACTGAGTTTTAATTAATTGTCGATGAATTGATAATTATTAATGTGCTTTGAATAATATACATACTAGTTTCTATTCATGCTTTTAGAATGAATTGAGATTAAAAATAAGAACTTTATATAGTGCATATAATATGTATGTTTTACAAACAAGTATTTAATTATTAACAATATTTTCACTGAATTTCTATTTTATAGTGTTATGGATTTTTTCACTGTTGCAAGTATACATACTTTGGAGAAAAATAATTGTTTGTGATGGTAACAGGATTGTCCCTGTACTTCAGAGATAATAAGGCAAGTTCTGATACATATATTAATAGTATGCATTTATGCTGATTTACAAATGCTGAAATCTTTAGAAATATAAATGTAGGTAACTATGATTTTGTGCATGTACTGCAAAATAAGAATGAAGAATTATATTATGAGAGAAG